GGTGTGTGGTGTGTGTGTGTGTGTGTGTGTGTTTGTGGGGTGGGAGATGTGGAGAGATGGAAGAGGGGGTGAGATGGAGTGGCTCCTATTCAAAGACCTGTGAGAATTCATGGAACTTTGCTGAGCCTGGGGTTCAAGCGACTTCTGCCTTCTCTACTCCTTCTCCCCCAACCAAGGAGTCAAATAACAAAAGGCTAGATTCTTGCCTTCCCAACTCTTAGCTCAAGGCAAGACAGCAGGCCTGAGTTCTAGGCACCTCTTTACTGAATACAGTTGTCGTTGGAAAGATGCCATCCATCGGTCCAGTTTTTATAGTTCAAATCCTATTTCTCCAGGAACTTACACAATAAGTTCATTGGGTAATTACTGGAATTCGTAGAACTCTTGACATACATTATTTCATTTGAAACTCACAACAGCCCTGAGAGGCAGGTACAGGTATAGAAGGCATTCCTGACCCTACTTTACTAAGCCCTTGAGAAGTGACTGGACCAGGATCACACAGCTACTGTCAGAAGTGGAGACTGGAACCCAGATCTTCATAACTCTCAGTCTAATACTCTTTTCTGCCTTCAGGGATGCTTTATTTTCATTGATTTAGAGCTGAAAGGGGCCTTGGAGGTTACTTAGTCTAGCCGCCTCATTTTATGGAGGACTAGATAACTTAAATGACTTGTCCAAGGTCACATAGTTAGCAAATGGCAGAGTCAGGATTTCAACCAGGTCTTTGTCTCCAAATCAGAACTCCACAGCCCAGAGTTTGGGTCCTCATTTATCTTTAGAGGACAACACTTCCTAATGTGTTTGCTTTAAGACAATTGGATACCATAGGTTAATGAGGGATAGCTCTAGGTTGAGAGATATGGGGATGGAGATGAGAAGATTTAGAGACGATGTTTTAGCTGGCACCAAATACTTGAAGGGATGCCAGGTGGAAGAGGAAACAGAGCCACTGTTAGGTCACACAGGGAAGAACTAGGAGCACTGGGCAGAAGTTTAAAATAAATAGATGGCAACTTAACATAAGAAAAAACCCAATGGAGCAGTCCAAAAAGTGAAATGGGCTATCCCTGGAGATAATCAATTTCCCATTACTGCCTGTCTCCAAGCAGAGGCTGAAGGGTGATTGTAGATAGGGTCCTTGGTCAGGTAAGGCTTAGAATGAATGGCTTTTGAGGTCCTTTTCTTTTTCTTTCTTTCTTTCTTTCTTTCTTTCTTTCTTTCTTTCTTTCTTTCTTTCTTTCTTTCTTTCTTTCTTTCTTTCTTTCTTTCTTTCTTTCTTTCTTCTTCCTTCCTTCCTTCTTTCCTTCCTTCCTTCCTTCCTTCCTTCTTTCTTTCTTTCTAGACAAACAGGGTGAAGTGACTTGACCAGGGTCACACAGCTGGTAAGTATTTTGGGGCTGGATTTGAAAGCAGGTCCTCTCTGCTCCAGTCCCGGCACTGTATCCACTGCAACACCTACCTGCCCTGAGGTCCTTTTCTTTTCTTCTTTTTTTTAAAAAAAAATTTTTTTTTAGGCAATTGGGGCTAAGTGACTTGCCCAAGGTCACACAGCTAGTAAGTGTCAAATGTTTGGTCTGAGACCGGATTTGAATTCAGGTCCTTCTGATTTCAGGGCCAGTGCTCTATCCACTGCACCACCTAGCTGCTCCCCTGAGGTCCTTTTCAATCTGGAAGTTCTCTGTCTGCGATTCTGTATTCCACTCTCATTTTCTCATATCCAGTGGTTTATGACGTATTGATATAAGGATATGAACTGGACTTGTGATTTCACTGATATAAGGAAATTCCTTCACCAGTGCACATTGGCACCTTTTCTGCTACTCATTGTCTCAGAGAATTATCATCATCATTATCATCATCATTAATTACTTTGTAAAGAGGTGAGGGACTATGTGTGGAAAATGTTGCATATACTATCAGATATGACTGCTGAGGTAGCTCAGTGGCATCATGGGTAGAATGCAGGAAGACCTGAATTTAAATCCATCCTCAGATACTGGCTTTGTGACCCTGGGCAAGTCACTTCACTACTGTCTGCCTCAGTTTCCTCATCTGTAAAATGCGGATAATAATAACTCTAAGGGTTCTTGTGAGGATCAATTTGTAAAGCACTTAACACAGAGCCTGGCATATAGTAGGTGCTATGTGACTATTTATTATCATTGTCATTATTATTAATGATGATGATGATGATAGCATTGCTTAGAGAACTGAGGGACTGAGTGACTCAAACCCATACTCTGAGGTTAGCATTCTAAACACTATGCTTAAAATTAAAGGAATTTAAAATTTTAAATTAAAATTTTAAAATTAAAGGAATTAAAAGAAAATTAAAGGAAATTAAATGGACAAATCCTCATGTAAAGGAAAGAATCCTTTTTACAAAGTGAATATTCATCCTTAATCTACCCATTTTCCAAGTCAGCTTTTGAGAAAGGCTCTTAAAATTTTATGCCAGCCTGGCAGTCTACAAACCCCTTCTCAGAATAATGCTTTTAGAATGCTTAAAATGAAATATAAAGGAAACTGATGACCCTGAACTTTTTTTTTCTCATCCACATCCACAGACCCAATGGGGGAAGTTCTTGGACCTTGAGTTAAGTACCTTTGACCTTTAGGAATAGCAGATTTTTAAAAATCAGAGTCAAGCTATGCTGCTCATTACTCATTGGTCATCTGTGGAATTTTAAAGCTAGATTGAGGCTCAGAGACCCTGGAAGAATGGTGTAGGGAAAAGAACATTGGCTCTGGAGTTAAAGGTTATGGGGTTCAAATCCTGACTGTGATGCTTACTACCCATGAGACGATTGTCTCCATAGCCCAAACTGAGGCTCTTTGGGCCTCAGTTTCCTCATCTGTAAAACTTGTTCTCTTCCAGCTGTCAAGCCCATTGTGTGAGATGGAGTTGCATGCCTAAAGTATTTACCACTGGAATGAGAGCGAGTCACTTAACCCCTGTTTGCCTCAGTTTCCTCAACTGTAAAATGGGGATAATAATACCTTTAAGATTCTTGTGAAGATCAAATGAAATAATATTTGGAAAGCACTTAGCACATAGTGGGAATGAGAACTCACCAGACAGGATAGGGTATCTGAAATTTTGCAACAATATTCATTACATTATACTATTGGGTAGGCAATTATTTTTTTTGGGGGGGTGAAGAAATTGGGGTTAAGTGACTTGCCCAGGGTCACACAGCTAGTAAGTGTCAAGTGTCTGAGGCAGGATTTGAACTCAGGTCCTCCTGACTCTAAGGCTGGAACCCTATCTACTGTACCACCTAGTTGCCCCTAGACCATTATTATTTTTTTCTTTTTGGCTAGGCAATGGGGTTAAGTGACTTGCCCAGGGTCAAACAGGTAGTATGTGTTATATGTCTGAGGCCGGATTTGAACTCAGGTCCTCCTGAATCCAGGGCCGGTGCTCTATCCACTGCACCATCTAGCTGCCCCAAGACCATTATTTTTTAAACCTGCCTTAGCAGACCACATCTTCCCATCCCAGAAAGATGAGTTTCTGCAGACCAGAGCCATGACTATTATTTTGATGCGTGGGCCAACACAAAACACTCCCAGGGTGAATAGCAGAAGACCAAAATGGAGGGATACCAGAGGGATACCTGTGGATGGAGATATTGGGCTACTGTGCTGCCACTTTGGGGGAGACTGCTACTGCTGAAGAAGGATGATAGAGAAGGGTGGGGATAGGCCAGGGAAGAGCTCGCCTGTGAGGTGTGGCCTTGGGGTGGAAAGAAGTGGGTCATTTGGTTGCTTCCTACTTTAATCCAGTTGATTCTTTGGTGGAAGGATTGACTTCAAATGCTTTGAGCTCCCTGTAAATTCAGCACCCTGGGACAAAACCCAAGTTGCCCCATCCTAGTTAGAACTTGACTGTAGAGCTCATCCATTGCACTTTTTGACACTTAAAAACATTTCTCTTGCCCAAATTTCCTGCTTGCTCTTTTATGGTACATAGATTTTTTTTTTCAATAAAAAGGGATCTTAAAGCTCATTCAATACAACTACCCTATCTTACAAATGAGAAAACTGAGGCCTAGAGATGTTAGGTGGCTCACAAGGTTCTGTGATTCCAACCCAGGTCCTCAAGACCTCAGATTTCAGGCTCTTTCCCTTCCACCTTGCTCCTTCTTGCTCCATGTCACATTTTCCCAGTTTTGCATCTCCCAACATAGGTGAGAGCTCTGTTTAGGCCCTTTATATTCTTTTTTGTTTGTTTGTTTCTGCCTTTATTTCACAGAATGCTTTATTCTTCTTGGTGACCCAGCGAGCAGACATATTTTCCTTTAACCCTTTCATTTTCTCCTCTTGGGATTTGATCACTAATTGCTTTTTCAGGTAATAACCATCTTTGAAAATAAAAACGTGAAAAGTAACCCAGTCAACCACATTTACTTTGCACTCACTGTATTCACAGCCCTGAACTAAGCCCTTTGGGAAATGCTTAATTAATAGTAACAACAACAATGATGATAATGATGATAATGACAATAATGATAATTCAGAACTTGTTCGTTACCACCAGAAACTATAGACAGTTTGTCCTCAAGGAACCCAGATGTTATTGATCAGTGCAGATGACACAAGGAAACAGTAGAAACTTTGCAATACATCATTTTTGCCTTTCTTTATATTCTCAACACTTATCACAGTGCCTGGCCCATAGTAGGTGCATAATAAATTCTTGTTGACTGACATCACCGAAAGCTGCAAAAATTTGGTGTTTACCGAATATATAACAGAATGTGGCCTAATGGTTAGACTTACATATCAAAAATTCATTATTTGTCACAGCCTGATGGATGACAGATCCAAATACTATAAATATAGACCTCAAAATATACTTAAGATGATAAGCCACACTGCAACTGGGCCGTTATTACAAACCAAACTGTTACAACCACCCAACATACTGGTGATTCATTAAAGTTTATTAAGAACAATGCACTTTAAAAAATAGATTTAGCCGTATCAGATACCTATAATCTCCAGGTTACGTAGAACAAAAGGCTTTCCAAATGTAGGGACTGAGCAGAAGAAACCAAAATTATATGAAAAAAGTACTGAGGCCAATATCATGTCTGTCATCTTATCTTCTACTAGAGTTGTCCTGTAAATGCTCTCGGTAGCAGCTAGGTGGTGCAGTGGGTACTATGCCGAGCCTGTAGTCAAAAAGAAGAGAGTTCAAATTTGGCCTCAGATACTTATTAGCTGTGTGACCCTGAGCAAACGGCCTCAGTTTCTTCACCTGTATAATGAAAATCATAATAGCACCTACCACCCAGAGTTTTTGTAAGGATCGAGTGAAATATCTGCAAATTCCCTGGAACATAGTGGGCACTTAATAAATGTGTGTTTCTCCCCCTCCCTCCTTCCAGTCAGCTTACAGAAGATGAGTTCAGATCCATTGCAATTCTTTTATTCGACTACACAAAACAGTCATTCTATGCACCTGTGCAAATATTTCAAAGAACATTAAATGTAAAAGAATGATACCAGGAGAACAACTTGTCCCAGGATCCTTTCTGTCTGAACCCCATAGGAAAAGATGATACAAATGAGATGAAAAGCAGTGCAACAAAGGTATGGACTGGTCTTGTAATTGTATTGGTAGAGAGAACTCCCAGGTGAGAAAATATTCTCCAAGAACAGAGGCTGACACTTTCTCTGCAGCTTATACTCTTAGAGAGCACTGAGAGTTAGGTGATTTATCCAAGGTCATACAGCCAGTATATGTCAGAGTGGGACCTGGACTCAGATCTTCCTGGTTCTGAGGCCAGTTCTCCAGCCACTAAGCCATGGTACCTCTCAGAGCAAAAACAAAGAAATAAGCATTTATTAAGCACCTACTATATACCAAACACTGCCCTAAGTGCTTTACAAATGTTATCGCAATTAATCCTCACAATCCCTTGAGTTAGGCGCTGTTATTATCTCCATTTTACAGATGGGGAAACTGAGGCAAACAGGTTAAGTGACCTGCCCAGGGTCACACACTTAATAAATATCTGAAGCTGGATTTGACTTCTAGGCACAGTACTCTACCCACCGTGTCACCTAGCTGCCTCTGTAACAACAACAGCAACTGTAATGAATTAGCATGTATACAGCGCTTTAAAGTTTGCAAAGTACATTTTCTCATTTGATCAAAGAAAAAGGGCACTCAAGGATCTCTCATTTTAAATAAGGGAATAGTCCCTGCCCAGGCTCCTAGTCTGATGGGGGGGAGCGTTCCTACCATTAAAGAGCCTCCCCCCCCCCATATGATGGGGGATGTAAAGTCCAACATGAGAGACACAGGATACCCGGGAATAAATTTTGATAAATAAAAATGATGAAAAATAAAGATAAATTCTAGCCAATTCAGATTCATCAAAGGCTAAAGGATTAGGGAGCTAGGGCAGAGTTGCTAAAGAGATCAGGGTAACTGAAGAAGATTTCTGCAAAGCAGTGAACTTCAGCCCAATTTGGAAAGGGGCAGGGGAAGCAGGGAGGAGGTTTGTGGGTGTCTCTGAGGGAGAGCACTGTGCTTGTGTGCCTGTGTGGGCGGGTCCATGCATGTGTATGTGTGCAAGTGAGTGACCCCAAGTAAGTGTCCTTGTACGCTTTTGTACGTGCATGGATGCCCCAGGACAGAGACCAGACGCAGGTGTGAGCTGTTATTACCAGCCAGACTCAGTGGGAATGATCGATGGATGGGCCTTAGAGGGCCCGGAGCAGAACGCGGTGGCAGAGCTCAGGCTCACAGCTCCTGACTGCGAGGGCTGGAATCAGGAGGGTGGCATCGGCTAAATCAATAAAGTTCCACCTTCCCTGCTAGCTATTTTCCCATCTGCTTTTTCTGTTGTTCCGCACAACAATAGGGGAAGCTTCCTCTTCTGGGCCCCAAGAGGCCCTCAAGCTTTCTGGAAAGCTCTTCTAACTTGCCCATCCCCATTCCCCATTCAGTACTTTACTGAGGGGCCTCTCCTCTGCCCTCCCTTCCTCGGTTCAGTCTCCTGAGCCATCATCACATCCGTGGCTCCTGCAGCCCAGAAACACTCCAACGCTGTCCTCCGGTGCCCCCAGATGGTGTCACTCCCCTGTGCCCCTCCCACTTACCCAGAGGCTGCTCCTGTCATTTGAGGATTAACCAGCTTCCTTCTGCCTCATCCCCCTGGCCCTGCCACCGAGGGCAGAGGGATCCTATGTATCTGAAGAACACTATATGAAGAAAAGCCTTGATTCTAACGTCAGAGAACTTAATCTCATGTCTTGACTTTGCTTCCTCCTAGCTGTCTAACCTCAAGCGAGTCATGAGAGCCCAGCCTCGAGCTGGAAGGGTCCTCTGAGGTCATCCGGTCCAACCCCCTTATTTTACAGTGGAGGAAATGGAGGCCCGGTGATCTCCCCCATTAGACCGACTGTGAGCTCCCTGAGGGCAGAACTGTCTTTTGCCTTTCTTTGTATCCCCAGGGCTTAGCACACTGCCTGGCACATAGTAGGCGTCTAATACGAGATCATTGACCGAATACCCAGAATCACACAGGAAGTCAGTCACGGGCAGAGCTGCCAATCCAACCCACTGCAGTAGAATGGAAGCTCTTTGAGGACAGGCCATCTTTTTGTCTTTGAATTCCCAGTGCCTAGGACAGTGCTAAATGAATGCTTGTTGCTCGACTGATGATTTAACTCCAAATTCAGGGCTCTCGTCCCTCCCTCCTGCTGTCTCCTCCTCTTTGAGTCTCAGTTTTGTTGTTTTTACATATCTGTGTGAGGTTAAATTTTCTTCATACTCTTCAAACTAAACAACGTATGGCAGCAGATTGAAGGCACGAGCAGCTCTGAAAACCCAGCTGTTTTCTCTTAAGCCAGACATAAAAGAGATTTGCAAAAAATGTGTAAAAACAATGTCACTAAATTTTTTTTCACTTTGGAAAAATATAGCTATTTATGTGATTTATTTATTTTTATATTTTATTATTATTTTAATGAATAAATACATATACTATTAAAATGATTTTTAAATAACATAGAATATATTACATATATAATATATTGCCATATTATGTAATGTTATCTATTATATTATCTATGACAATATTATATAATTTTGTGATTATATAGCATCATGTAACATTATCATATGTGTTTATTATAATTATATAATATTATTATATAAGTGTGCATTATAATATAATAAAATTAATAATTATTAAATATATTAGCTATACAATGACTATATTAGCTATATAACAAGTATAATAGCTAATAATTATTAGTAACTAATATTAGCTAATGATAAGTAGCTAACATTTATGTGGTACCTACTATGTGCCAAGCACTTTACAAATATTATCTCATTTGAACCTCATGACAACACTGAGAGGTAGGTGCTATTGTTATTCCCATTTTACAGAGGAGGAAACTGAGACAACAAGGTCAAGTGCCTTGCCCAAGGTCACACACCTATGGAGTGTCTGACACAGCTTCCTTTCTAATATAGTAAACATAAATAGATATAAATAACCCATCAGAAAAGCCTTTTTTGGAGGGTGGGTAGGAAGTCCTCAACAATTTTTAAGATTGTAAAGGGGTCCTGAGACCAGAAAGTTTGAGAACCTCTGGCCCAGATCCCTACGGTGTTCTCCAGCTTGAACAATAAGATTTATGAGATCACATTCAAAGAATGAGGCCCAGAGGTGATGAGTGGGATGTCTTATCCTGAGTGGGCAACCTCATGAATAATTCCAGGGAAAGGGATTTACAATCCCACATCAGCTGCTCACAGGTTTTCCTTAAATCCCTTAGCCCCAGTCACACACAGTCTGCTGTCACTTGCCATTAGAGTCATAAATTTAGAGATGGAAGGTAGCATAGGGCCACCGAATTCAAGCCCCTTATTTAACAGAAGAGGAAACAGACCAGGAAGGGTTAAGTACTTTGCCCAAGGTCACACTAGGAGCAAGTAGCAGAGTCAGTATTTGAACCCAGGTTCAAGTATCTCCAATTTGAACTCCCAATCCAATTCAGCACTCTTTCCATTGTGCTAAGAAGCCTCTCCAGTTATACGGACAGTGATGATTCCTGGTGGTGTGGGGGAAGTTAGCATTGTGGAGCTCCAAAACAGAGAAATCTCCCAGCTCAATCGAAACACAGCTGATGAAGGAGCCCTTCTCAATGAATGAAAGAAAAAGCTGGTGTGAGACAGAGGTGCTGAATTGGGTAAGTGTCACATGGCCTCCTTGTGATGAATTACCAGCTGTTAGAAACCATTAACTGAAGCCAAATTGATTTCATTTCGAAAGTGGAGCCTTTTCTTATCTTCCATAGCACAAGCTGGAGCACTGTATATGTAGATGTGTGTGTGTGAGTGAGGGGGTGAGTCTGTGCAGACAGTGTGAAAGTCAAAGGATGTGAGAGTGTGAGGGGGTGTGTGCAAAGATGAGATCATATTGGTGTGAGTGTCAATGTGAAAGTAGAAATGTAAGAATATGTGTAAAGGTGAGAGTGTACATGTGTGAGTGTGAAGGTATAAGCGTGTATGTGAAAAGGTGTGTATGGCTGTGAGTATGAAGATACAAAAGTATAAGGGTGAAATGGTCGGCATGTAAAGATGAGAGTATATGGCTGTGAGTGTGAAAGTAGAACAGTAGAAGGATAAGTGTGCAAAGATAAGAGTGTATGGGTATGAACGTGAAGATAGAACAGTATAAGGATAAGTGTGCAAAGATGAGTGTATGGGTGTGAGTGTCAATGTAAAGGTAGAATTTTAAGTATATGTGGAAAAGTGAGAGTGTATGTGTGTGAATGTGAAGGTATAAGAGTCTAAGGGGGGATGAATATGTGTGTGTGCAAAAGTGTGTATGGGTGTGAGTGTGAAAATACAAAAGTGTAAAGGTGAAATGGTCAGTGTGCAAAGGTGAAAATGTATGAGTGTGAGTGTGAAGATAGAACAGTATGAGGATAAGTGTACAAAGATAAGAGTGTATGGGTGTGAGTGTAAAGATACAAAAGTATAAGGGTGAGTATGAAAAAGTGAGAAGTGAATGGGAGTGAGTTTGAAGGTATAATGGCAAAGGGTGTGCAAAAGTGTGT